AAAATCTCTGTGCCCGAGGACAGTTTCTCCATTGATATATGATAAGTATGGCTTTGTTTTTATCCAATGTTTATTGAATGGGTAAAATTATAAAATACAAAATTCTCACTAAATTTGCAGCCTTCTTTCAAAGCAACACTTAAACTGCTTAGTTGGAGGGCTGTGGTAATCTTTACTACACTTGTGATACCTATCATGTATTTTAGATGTATCTCATAATGAAGGTGAAAGATTTTGATACAGTCAAACATTGGGCTTGATCCAGTTTACTTGAAGTCTGCAGATATAATTAACATTCTTACTATTATTGTCAGCATGCAACATCCAGGAGTTGCTACTATAGCTGTTCTTTCTTTAACTGGTTGAAATTCTTTTGATATCAGTACGTAATGGTTGGAGATGCTCTCTACCTGTCAAATTCATAGTTGTTAGTGTAAATGAATTGAAGTTCATATATACGTAGAATTGAAAATGACTCCTGGTTCTTTCCAAACAAATGGCAAAACCAACACAAATATATTAGTCATCTTGGTTGACCTGAATATTTATTTTTCATTACATGAAAATGGTATTTGAATTAAACCTGCCTACTATGAATTCAGGAGTCCATGAATATATTGAAGGATCACTGCTGACCTGGCTATAATTTTTTTGAACGTTTGTTACTGACAAGGAAAGTCAGTGACTGACGCCTTCTAATAGTGCAGGGCTACAGAGGACACTGCCTCTGTCTCGTGTATTTGGTTCTAAGCAGCTAGTTCTCATGAGACTTTGAAGTAATAGCGTGTTTATAGTGTGTGATAAACTGCTGGATTATTCAGGAGTAATGCTGTGGTTATTACAAACTGTTTCTGGGGCTCTTAGATTGGTCAGACAGGTGAATCCTTTCATGCACATGGGAAAAGGTCCCTTTTGGATCCTATGCTTAGATTGCTGTTAAAATTAATGTTCTGTTGAATCTTGGAATAGCTGTAGTTGTTAGATAGTTCTTAATTGCTTTATGAGGAATTTTACGAAACTCTTTTCATTATCCTCTTCATCATAAATTTCACCTTCACTGCGCCAACTTCCAAAAAGTATTTGGCTTCCGTGGTTGATGTTTGTTCTCAGTGTTTATAGTGTTTTCAAGGGATTATAAAGAAAGCCTTAGGAGCCTTAATATTAGTGCCCTGTCTGCTCTACCTTAAACCCACAAATATCTAAATATAACAAGCTAAAGTTTGAACACGGATGCTGATGTGCTTGCAATATGCTTTGTTTGCTGTTTCTGTTTTTGTCAGAGAAGCAGATGTAGAATGTATTTGTCTGATAGCTGAGATAATGTTGAAGCTGGAACTTTTGCAACCTTCCTTTCTGACAGCAACTTTTGCTCTAAAGGTGCTGATTGTGCATTTAGAAAAACTTCTGGATTTGCTTTCCTTGACTTCATCTGAACTATTTTCTTTGCGTTAAAATTGCTTGTGCTAAATTATACAGTAAATATAAATAGGTAGGAGGTAAAAGATTACAAAGTACAATTTCAAAGACTAGTTTTTAGTAGAGAGTCTTTTTTACGCAGTTGTTCAGGAATGATAGACAACCGAGAATGCAGAATAAAAGAATAAATTGAAACCTTATAATGAAGTTTCAGATTTCAAATAACATGGTTTAGATTTGGACAGATTTTTTACTATAGAAATAAGACAAAAGCAAAGCAATTTCTCCTCCTTCTCCTGCTCTTCTAGTCCTGTCTGTAGTTTCTCTTAGATTTCAAACTTGGTTTACTTCTTCTGTAGGCCTGCTTTCAAAAAGTGTCCTTTTTATTTATCCTAGTAAGGTCTAAAATGATTTTATTTTTTTTTTTAATATTATGTGCAAGTTGTCAATGGATTTTAGTAGTCATAGGTAACAAGAAAGAAAATAGTACTGTGCAGGAACAAGACTAGTACAAAGAGTGCTAAGAGAATGTACTCCCAACTGAATCCCTTCATTGTGGATTTTTCTCCATCTGCTTGCCTACTTGATGCTTAGAGAGTGATGCCCAACTACATTCACTGTAAAAGCTGTTTACTAGTTCAGTGCTAAATAAAACTAAATAAAGCCCCAGTTTTGCAAACTTGCACATATTTAGCATTACTTCTAGGAAAAAAAAATAATATTTACAGGCTGATGTCAAGTAGTTTAAAGTCCAATTTAAATTGTTATGTGTTATTCTACTAAAGCTAATATTGTAACTAACACAATTAATGTTATAAAGCAAACAACCACCACGAGTCCCAAAACAATCGCTTCACCCCCTCCCAAAAAGAGCAGCAAGTTATATTGGACAGACATAGTTATATTAGAAAATAAAATGCTTATGATGTACACCATCACATGAATTGTCTAATGCCTTACACTAAGCTGCTTGCTTTCATGCTATGAGCTGGCCTAATATGTCACTCGAAAATGTGTTCTTAATTGAGATACATAGAAAAATGTTTTCTCTAGGAAGGACTTACAGAATCACAGAATGTTAGAGGATGGAAGGGATCTTAAAAGATCATCTAGTCCAGCCCCCCTGTCAGAGCAGGATCACCTACAGTAGGTCACACAGGAACGTGTCCAGGCTGGGTTTGAATGTCTCCAGAGAAGGAGACTCCACAACCTCCCTGGGCAGCCTGTGCCAGGGCTCTGGCACCCTCACAGGGAAAAAGTTTTTCCTAATGTTTTTGTGGAACCTCCTGTGTTCCAGCTTGTATCCACTGCCCCTTGTCCTCTCATTGGACATCACTGAGAAGAGCCTGGCTCCATCCTCCTGACACTCCCCCTTGACATATTTATAAACATTAATGAGGTCACCCCTCAGCCTCCTCTTCTCCAAGCTAAAGAGACCCAGCTCCTTCAGCCTTTCCTCACAAGGCAGATGTTCCATTCCCTTCATCATCTTTGTGGCTCTGCGCTGGACTCTCTCCAGCAGTTCCCTGTCTCTCTTGAGCTGAGGGGCCCAGAACTGGACACAATATTCCAGATGTGGCCTCACCAGGGCAGAGTAGAGGGGCAGGAGGACCTCTCTCCTCCTACTAGCCACTCCCCTTCTAATACACCCCAGGATACCATTAGCTTTCCTGCCCACTTACTTCGTAATATTCAGAACTAAGGCACATACAGATTCTGTTAAGCTTTATCTCCCATATGTGCAGATTTGCCTTCAGATTTTTTTTTTCCTTGCAGAAGATATGTATGGATAGCGTTTAAAGATTTTGTATAAATATTGAAGAACATATCGGGTTACGCACAAGCTGACCCTGAAGTATTTGGTCAGCTTTGTGTCTATATAGTAAATCAATGCTAAATTCACTGTGTATTCACAGGTTTTGCTGGTTCTGGGGTGCTTCCAGGTTTAACATGAAAAGCAATCTATGCCTCTGCGAAAACTGCCAAATGTTTTGATTATAAACCATCATGATCTCAATCTCCCAAACTGTGCCACCTATAACAAAG